ATGCCTGGCGCTTGATTGCATCCTGGTTACACAAATCTTCTGACATTTGAGCACAGATGAGAGGATATAAAAGGATGTGCAGAATTATGACTAATTTTGTTAGATGTGCTAATATGAAATCATGGCTTTGTAGAAAAAATGTTCTTTTTAGAGCTGAACACTGAGGGATGTATAAGTCAATGGTCATAATGTCTACAACATACTTGAGAATAATTTTACTTTAAAAAACCCTAGATAAAACAAATAAGACAAAATAACATTTTTTTAAAACGTAGGTGATAGGTACTCGGGTGCTTATATTCTATTCTGTTTTCTGTGTGTTTGAAAAATGTATTCATTGCCTCTCTTCTATGCTTTGTCCCTCTTTTTGGAACAAATACCCTTAAATATTAGTTAGAAACGTCTTCAACTACATGCAACCAAAAAGCTAAGCACAGTGGCTTATATAAATTGGGGAAAGTATGTGTCTGTACTAAAGATGCTCTTGGCCTTTCTCTCATTACCATAACATGTTAGTGCACACGGTCATGAACCAAGGTCAAATCAGGCCTCAGTGAAGTAGTTGGCAGTATCAACGGATTTCTCCTTGTGTCTGTGTGGCAAGGAACCTGGCTATCCCTAGCTAAATGCACGACTGGGAAAACAAAGTGTCAGGGTTTGTGCCTTGATGGCACAGGCAGGCACAGGATGTCAGTCCTTACCGTATGCCAGGACCTTTGTTGACCCTCTTATTTTAACTCTGTCTTAGTCTCTCTCTTACATTTTCCATCGCTACTGAATTCCTAGAAATTTACTAAGATCTATTTCCATTTCAATTTATTTTTCAGCTTTGTCTAATCTACTTTTTTAAAAAATACTTTTTAAAAATTTTGCGGTGCTGAGGATTGAACCCAATGCCTCATATCTGCCTAATTCAGGAGTTCAGTATTGGGATACACTAACTGCAGAAATGAACTACAGCCTCCAATTAAACAGCATGCAATAATGCTTTGTTGCAAGTGGTATTAGCTTTCATCTATCACTTTGAATACTTTTTGTTTTTTCCAGAATGTAGATAGGGACCACGTCAAAGACCTATACCCTTTATATTTGGCTATTATATAGATTTTATGAATTTGTTACATATTTTCTCTGTATTGCCTACATATATATCTTGCTTTTATGTTCCTGGAAAACTAAGGCTTCTTTTTGGTAATGTTGTGTGTACATTCTTACATTGAAATCTCTGTTAATGGTAGCCTTCCTCTCTTGCTTTTACTTCTCACTGTAAACTCATCCAATCAAAGCTTTCTCATTCTATTGTCATTTGTGAAGCATGGGTTCAGACTAACGCTATGAATGTTTCTGTCAGGTGTCTGAGGGATAGTACTTGCCTGGGTCCAATTTTTATAAAAATTTCATACCCCTAGGTCTTTCCCATGATGTTTTAATACCTGAACTCCGTTGCAGAACACAGGACAGACTTTGGTTTCTCTCAGACTTTATTTTCCCACTCAGAACCACTAGAATCAAACTTCTTTGTGCTATCACATGATAGTTTACAAGATCCTCTACTGTGGGGGCTGCAGACCATGACAGGTTCTGGTTTCATAGAGGGGCCTCAGGGTTACCTCTTTACTTCAAGCAGGCTTTTTGCCTCTGATTCTACTCCATCATGAAGGCTAATCCCCAACTAGTAGGATTAGCCCACTATTAAAGTTGGAGACTCCATTCTGCCCTATTTCCTCCTGGGAACAAAATTCCTATAGGGTGAGGTATTCTCTGCCTGGAATCCATTATATCTGCAATATATATTATCTAGATGTTGTGTGTACATTCTTACATTGAAATTTTATTCCACCTTCCATTTCATGCTATATTGTCAGGTTTTGGTATCAGTATTATGCTCATATTCTGTAAAATGAGTTTGAAAACATTTCCAATACAGTGATGCCCTGAGACAACCAGCCTATTATTAACCTAAATTAAGGTCTGCCTCACAGGTTCCAGTTCTCAAACAGGAGCAGGCCAACATTCTCATCTTGAGAAGGGGGATGCAGAATAAACAGAACACCACATCTGATCATGCTAAATATTTTAACTCCATTTATGGTGTGTGCTCCATATTTTTAAGAGCAAGAGGATTATCTAATATTTAAAAGTAAGAAAAATCGTATGTAATGAACTTTTTGGAGGAAAATGCTTTACTAGTTTAACATTTTTTCAATCATTATTGCTTATTTTTCTATTTCAATTCTAATTCACATTTCCTATAAAAATCATGCTCCAATGAGATCTTCAAATTTATCAAAATAGTGTAGACAGACTATTTCCCTACAATTAACTTATTCAAATTGGTTTTATGTCCGTCTTTATTTTGTAACTCTTTCATTTTATACTGGTTTTTATGCATCCTTGTGAATACTTTTTATTTTTTCCTTCATGGACTACATTTATTCTCCATTCTTACCCCCTCATTTGGAATTTACTCAGCTTGGTTTAATTTATACAACAGTTACCTTCTTGTTTAATACCCAAAAGTATGTCATTCTACTTTTTTAATGGAAAAATTTTAAAGTTATTGTTGACTTCTTTCTAAAATATTAACATGCTTACTTTCCTCTACACTTCCAATTCCCAGTCATTATAATTACAGTTCATATGTCTTCACTCTTCACAATTTTTTTGACATTTGCTTTGTTTTACAACTACATAATTCCTTTAATTGACAAAAAACTAGTATTTAATTGGACATGCTCTTTATAATGTCCCTCTTTTTAATTCCATATTTTTTACCTTTATGAATTGATCCTTTTGGTCAGCTGGAGTAGGCCTCTGGGGTACAGTATAGGTCTTGGGGTACAGTATAGGTCAAGCATGTGCAGTTTCTAAAGACACTATTTCTTGCATCCCAAGATCCAGTGCCCATTACTTAATGTCCATATCTATTAATTACATTATTATATACCACTGAGCTACAGCCCTGTCTAATCTATGTTTTAAAAATATATTTTAGAAACTATAATATTATTATTATTATTATTATTATTATTAGAAACTGTAATAACTGAAAGCCTAGAAAAAGGTCAAGTCTTGGACAGGGCCACAGCTATGGCCACTACTGAAAAGTTTTTCCAAGGAGTGCTGCGGCTGTCTAGTTGGCAAAGATTCCAGGTTCTTAGGAATTGATTCATACTGACAGGATTAGATCTACTTTTTTGAAAGCAAGTCTTTTATATGTCTAGCCCTTCCTATTGTGGCTGACACAGAACAGGCACTCAATAAATGCTTATTAAATGACATTAATAACACCTACATCATTTCTTCCTTGAACAAATTCAACATATACCAGTGATATTACATTCCATCCTTCCCACTCTGGCTATAATTCTTTTCTTTCTTTTTTTTTTTTTTTTTTTTGTAGTACCAGGGATTGAACCCAGAAGCACTTAACAACTAAGCCACATTCCCAGCCCTTTGTATTTTGAGACAAGTTCTCACTAAGTTGCTCAGAACACTGCTAAGTTGCTGAGGCTGCCTTTGAACTTGCAATTCTCCTGCCTCACCCTCCTGAGTTACTAGTTACAGGCATACACCTTGTCTGGCCTGGCCATAATTATTAGTCTCATTCTTCCACAAATCCCTTTACAGGTTTTTGTTGTTTTCTTAAGAGATCTGATTTTATCACAAACCACTCTTTTTAAAAAATTACCAATAGCTCCCTAATGTCATTCTTTAGAAAATTTAAAGCTTTTCTTAGCTTCATTTCATTTTACAAACTGTCCAGTTGAGCCTAGTCCCTGAATAGTCCCTCACATTCATACTTCCATTATTTTCCAATCCTATTCCTTGTACTTTTGAGCACTTTCTTGTTTACATACTTCATAAAATCTCACACCTGAAATCCTCAAGTCACTTCCTCTCTGACTCCACAGCATGAATTATTCCCCTACTCTGTATTTTAAACATAATTTAACACATTAATCACATTTCAGTTGTTTGCCTCCTTTCAGACTAAGAATTCCTTAGAACAGGATAATTATTCATATTTGCATACCAAACAATAATGTACCAAGCACTTTAGCATTTAATGTGCTCAAAAAGTCTAAATTCAATTTCTAACAGTAGACACTATACTAAATTGGAAGCCCAATCAGTTTTTCCCTAGGAAATATGTTGACTTAGAAATAAATCTATCCCCAGAGAACTGCCCAATCTACTTAATTCTGTATTCATTTCAGTGTCCTTGTACCCCAGTAACGGAATTCCATCTCAGCACTACTGCTAGAAACTGAGTTTCTCTTCCCACAAAATAGGGAAGTTTGCACAGTATTAAGAGTTCAGGCTGGGTCTATACAAAATTAAGTTCTAACACTGGCTAGTTAATATTTAATTAATATTTAGTTAATATTTAACCTTCAAGTCTCAAAAAATGTGATATATCTACTTTGCTAATTTGTTTTGCTTTATTGCAAACTGATAAAGTACTGAGTACAATATGATCATGAGTAGTTTTAATTACAACTTGTGTCATGGAACTGGCCTTGTCTCTCTTCTGTCATTATTTTGTGAGTTAATGCAGTTGTGACTTGCCACTTGCAAACAGGACAGGAAAAGCAGTATTCACAATTCAAATACATACAGTATGGGGCTCTTTGTAATTAAAAGTAAAATCTAAATCTTAAAAATTATTTTATGCATTTTACAAATTTATTCAAATTAAATATTTTACCTTAATTGTTCTAGGTTTATTTTTATCATAGTTAAATCTGCTGGCATTCTTTTTAGAAAGATGTGTCTATAGATAATGGCACTTGTATGATCAGACTTCACTTTATTTCCATTGCTTCTCTGCTATGTACTCTTTGTAAACATACCCTCCAAGCTGTGCCTGACACATATCAAATAATTTTCCTTCTATAAATAATGGTCACTAACTTGAATCTGAAATTAATTATAAACCATTAGGTCCCAGTCTCAACCCACATCAACCGATAAACCAATACAATGAAAACCAAGCATCAGAGTTTTCTCCAGATATTTAATGAATGCAAGATGCAGTGTGGCCATATTCCATGAAATGTGATTACCAGTAGGGAAGCTGCAGCCCTACTGAATTAAACAAAAGTATTACGAGACAGCTAAAAGCTTTATATAGGTGGATCTGTCTTAATTACTATAATGTAGACAGTTTGATAAATAAGGTTGTTTCTTGTGCTTTTTCTACTTTAGGCAATAATATACTTTAAATACAGATGAGACACACAAAAATTTTTTACTGGTTTGAGTTCTAAGTATTCTTTTTACTACAGACCTCCCTCCACTGCAATCTAGATGAGAAGACCCAGCCTTTGGTATAAATAACTTATTTCAATGACAATATTTAAAGGATACCATTATTGATCACTGTCAACATTTGTGTAGTTGTTTGGTAAGGGGGTGGCCAGAGCCTCTTTACTTTCAGTAAGTGCTCTAGGCTGATGGATAAACACACTAAACTTAACACCTTGGTTGTTTGCAGCTCTAACAAAACCACTGTTGGCAGTCATTGTGATGGCTTTTAGGGTGTCTCCTGTCCCAAAAATTGTTAATGAACGGCTATTAATTTTTGAACTGGCCACTAGTCTCAAGGCACGCTCAGAAGGCTGGTCTGGCACCACATTAATTCGCTTAATTAGCATAGTAGCCCTCTCTCTCTCCCCAGGTCCTCCTAAAGTATCTAGAATAGACTGAAAATCCTTGACAGCAGATTCACAAGCAAACAATTCCTTGTCCTTCATAAACGCCTCCAGCTGAGGTAGAACCTGCTCTTTCCTCTCTTGCTCTGCTTGTTCTGTGAGCACTTTTTCTTTGAAGATAAAGCGGCAGCCTCCATAGCTGAGGGCAGATACATACGTGATTAAAGTAGTAATGTCCAGATTTACTCTTTTACACACATCGACCTTAATCTCTGTTGGAAATGCAACACTTGCTAGTATATTTTCCCGGTCTACTCTGGTCACCTGCAAAAGTTCTGGGCCCTCGTCATCCGATTCACTCTCACTTAGCTGGAGCTCCTCAGGGTGATCTAACAGAGAGTTGACTGCTACTATGTCTCCTCTCACAGATATGCCCATTTCTTTCAGCTTCTCTGCCATGGGGCTGGAGACACTGTTGTAAAATGCAAAGATGATGTGAGGGTTGCTATACTGCACTGGCTGTTGATGACTGGCCTGGAGGAAGTCTTCGGCCTGTTCAATGATGCTTTTGTCCCCATACTGGCCCCTGCCCAGCCAGATATTGTGCAGTGCTTCAGCCTTTCGGCCAATGGCTTTCACCCAAGTATGACCACCATTTGCAACTACATCCACTACAAGGGTCTGCTTTTCTCCCAAGGTATCTGTGTAACCAAAGACATGGAGAACACTAACAACTTCTTCCAGGTTTTCTGCTGATTCCACAATGGCTCTCAGATGTGTTAGATTTGTGCTTTGCAAATGGGATTCTTTAATAGCTACTTTCCCAGCTTCTACTTTCTGTAAGAATTTTAATTCTGCTTTCAATTTGCTGCATAGCTTTGCACCACCTTCTATACCACCTTTTCTTGATCTAGAAAGTGATTCTGCTCTCTTAATCAGTTCCTTGGCTATGGCGATTCGTTCACAGAGCATGGAGTGTGCAGACATGCTGACAGCATTCTTCCTTTCCTATGAAAAGACAACAAACAAGGCAAATTTGAATAGTCCCCCAAAATTATAAAGATTAAAAACTTCAATCTAGCAAAGCTTTTGGAGACTGAGTCTATGAACCTGGGCTTCTGTATGTGTGTTTTGGAGTGAGTTCTTTGATAGTAACTAAGGAAAGCTATACTTCCGAACTCTTCCTTATCTGGGTGTTGGATTCTCATACACTTTAGACTTTCATTTCCTCAGAACGTCATGGAGTTCGCAGCATATCCAACGTTAGGATTAAATGCAGGAGTCTATGTACTGTATAACATCTCCTTATCTCTTATCACCAGACTTATTGTTCTGTTGCTGAGAAATTTTCATACATGATTCAAAACGCCCAGATAAAATACTTAAAATAAAAAATCCATACAGACTACCTGGCTAACCAACTGTTCAAAGCAAGTGTTTCACTCCTAAACTGGCCAATTAGCCTCTCTCATTTTTAACTCCTTCAGGAGTTTGTGTACTTTAGCCAGCTACCTCTGAAGTCCCCCTGGGACACAGGGTACTTACGTCAAGGAATCAAGACTGCCCCACGTCTGCATTTGTTGTCAAAGCAGAATACTTTGAAAGACCTAGAGCGACCACCAATTTGCCTCCCACTCCTCAGTAAGGAAAAGCCCAAAGATAACCGAACTCCAAGAACCCGCCGGCGGCCAGGTGGGCCAAGGTCCGCAGGGCCTTCCGGGTGGGCTTTGGCCCCTGGGCCCAGCACGTCCATCTACGCAGATGGGTCCCGCCGGGCACGGTCCAGGCTCAAACAGGCCCCTGCAGGCGCCAGGGCTTAGAGGCCAGGTATGGTGGACGCATCGTGCCCCTCTCCCAGGACGGCCCAGCCCAGCCCCCGATGGCCTCAGAAGCCGAGTCCCGTTCCCTTCCTCCCGTCCCTCCTCCCTCCCGGGCTCCTCACCAGCAGCGCCCAGGACTGCGAGCGCGAGCAGGCGGGAGCGGTTACGCGGAGACCGGGACCCGCAGGGAAAGCTCACCCTGCAGCCCCCACCTCACTCAACGCCGAGGCCGCTCCGCCTGCGAGAGCTTCGCTGCCTCCCGCGCCTCACGCGTCAGGTGGTTCCGGGCCGGGTGATGCCGAAGCCACGATTCCCAGGCGGCAGCGCGGCCTCTCGAGCGTGGCCGACGCTAGCGCGGCAGCCATGTTTATTGAGGGCGCTGGCTTCTACCCTTAGCCCTAAGGGAAGAGGCGCCCCGATGCACTCATCAGGCCCCCAGAGGACAGCACCGAGGTGGTAATTCATTCCACTGAGTGCGTGGCACTCATCCCACTGGGATCTCAAGTGTTTTTCTGGCTCGTTTTAATAGAGAAAAACACCAGAGAGGCTTATCAAAAGACACATATCACACCATCCTGAGCTCGCCCCAGAAAGTATTATAGACATACTGGAGGGCAAATGACTGGGCGGCTTCTGAGAGGCTGGGATATTTAGACAAGTATTCAAAATCACTCAGATTATATTCGACAAAGTAAAACTAAATATTAAAGATTTCCAGTCATAACTAATCCCATGTACCCTGTTTCTTCTCCAAGCTCAATTTAACCCTTTAAGCCCCAAGTTTTCCACTGTGAGCATAATAGTCAAATATTATTTCAAAGTTATCATAAGTCATGAATTTGTTATTCAATTTTTTACAGATGTTCCACATCTGGGACGATAGGGGAAAAAATGGGTTAAATGACGAAAGTAAAAGGGAATAAACCCACAAAGGCAAAGAAGAGAGAGGGGATGGCTGCAGACAAGAAATACCAATAACACATTTTTAGAAGATAGAAGCAATAACGTATTTGTGCTTACTGTATGACAGGCAGTGTTCTAAATATTTTACACATATTATTTATTCAGTCATCTTACCCTAAAGAGATAGTTGTAGTTTTTAGATAAGTGAGCCACAAGAGGTTACCTAAATCCAGGAAGCCTCTCTGCAGATGGAGGAGGCTGCCTGCAGACCCTAATGGGCAAGTGCTTCACAAAGAACCCCAGTAGGGCTTTGGAACTTTAGGTGCCCAAAAGGTAGAGAGGAGCTGAGACTGAATTAAAAATGGAAGTGTGCTTAACTTTGTATAAGTCCTCTCTTCCAACCAGTGAGGCCCAGCCATTCCTCATTCTTCCCAGGCAGAAAGCTAGAGATGCTGAAGATAGGTTTCAGACTTAAGGCCCAACAAAAGATTGTAACAGGTGCCATTAGGAATGAAGACTGAAAGTTTTCTTACTGAATGGTGCCATTGGCTCCTTTTCTGTTCCCTCAGGAATACTGGCAACCCTTTCATAGTTACTCCACCTTTCCCTCAAAACCCTATGTCTCTGGAGAAATTAAGCAAAGACCCAAGAAAAATCAATGAACATCTCCCAGAAGATAGATTCAGGCTTCAAACACAGCACTTTAAAAAATTGTTTTGTTTGGAATTTGAAGGAAAAAGAAAGCAGACAAAAGGGCTTTAAAAAATATTTTATAATTAGCATCTTCAAATAAAAGATATTTGCTTCGAAATGAGAATAGTTATTTTTTTAAGAAGGGGAGATAGCAGAGCATAAGAAATTATTCCTCAAATGTAAAATGAATATCCCAAATTTGAAAAACACCAAAAGTGGAGGAAAAAATCTAGAAAGGAGAAATGAAAAACAGGGCAAAAAGTGAGTCCAGTATTCAAAAATGTTTTTAGAACTAAAGTGGAAACAAAGAAAAGGAAAGTTTTAAAAGTTTCTTTTAAGTGATTTTCTTGGTTTTTGTTTTGTTTTTACAGTGATAGGGTCTGTTAAAATACTTAATACAGTGAATGTTAAAAAAAAAAAAAACAAAAAAACACTAAGGCAAATAAACCATTGTGAAATTTCAGAACACTGTAGATAAAAGAAAGAATCCTAAGAGCTGCAGAGGGAAAATGTTATAAACAAACCATTTGGCATCACATATACAAAAACAGTAGGATTCCATCAGCAACACTGGAATTCAGAAGGGAGGACTGCTTTCAAAATGTGGAGATAATTTATTTCTAACCTAGAATCTTTAAACCCAGCCAAGTGAGAGAGAATGGTTTCAAACAAGCAACTAGCTGGCATTGGTTCCTGAGGACTGACATCTCCAAGAGAGGAGCTTCTGGGAAGTGTGTGGGAGAGAATATTACAAATTACCTTTCATCTGACCATGAGGAAAACAGTATTCAGAGGGTTTTCTAAGTTCTGCTGGGGAAATACAGCAAAAACTAGATGGCTGCACAGATATCAAAGTAAACAAAGAAAAAAAAATGCAGTATCCCCTTCAGAGAATTTATTTAGAAAATATAATCACAGTATACTTATATAGTCCTAAAAAGAAAAGTCTTTTCTGTTGAGTCAGGGAGTAGGGAACCGGAGGGGAACTTTTGTACAGAGGTCTATATTCTTATCTGAACTGACAGTAGTTAAATATTGGGAACCATATAAGGCTATATCATCCATTTTTTTTTTGAAACAGGGAGGCAAGTACCTACAAAAGTCCTGGCTTTCAGGGGATGAAACTTGAGGTGCATGGCCTCTGATGAAGTGGGTTACCTAACTTTTTAAAAATATTCACATGCTCCGGAAATTATCACTTGGTAGCCAGATGTTACTTGTTCTATAAGCAATATAGGTGGAAGGAAGAGAACCCCTGTGAGGCAACATGACATTAGTATAAGACCATTAGACAGGTTTTCAGGAAATCAGGATCCTAATCCAAGGGACCTATTAACTATTTCATGTTCTTGAGCAATTCAGTGAATATCAGTTTGCTCTTCTTTACAATTAGGGTCTGAGAGAGCTTTCCTACAAGGTAAGGGGGCACTTGATAAAGAGATGAAGGTAATAGGCTAAACAAATAGCTCAATGATAGAGAGACTGCTTAGCATATATGAAGCCTTTGCAAAGAGGTGAGCTTAAGTACTGAGAGCGGGGAGTTTTATACTATGAAAATAATTGAGTAATAGTTGAAAATTCCTTTGATGTTTCCTAAATACCTGATTCCCAATGTATTGGCATTCAATAATTATAAAGACTATAATAGTTTTTTCTTACTCCCCTTTCCTTTTCAACCCCTTCATACTACCATTTACATGAATTTTGAACATTTCAATGTTTCTCTGCTAATCACTGTTTTGCAAATTTAAATTCGTGGTTCAGTAGGAACTGGGAAAGAGGAAAGGACAGGGCAGAGTGGAGACAAACGTTTTTAAGATAGAATTGAACCAAGAGGAGGGAGGGGTTAAGAACATTTAGGAGTATTATAATGCTTAAATAGACTAAAAGAAGCTAGAATCCACAGGCTAGGCATGATTCAAAGATTTGGGAATGTTTAGGGATGTAATGGGTTGCTACATAAAAGAATTGAGCTTCCCAAGAATTGGGACAAAAAGGATCAGCTTAATTTTAAGGCCACTGAAAAAGAATAAATGCTGAACAAAGAGACTGGAGTTATGGGCAGCTTCAGTTTAAAGTGGGCTTTGAAGTGAATGGGGACAGGAGGCAGAAAATTGCCCCACGATCGAATATAATTCAGTTAAATTTTCCTCCTTTATTCTATAGAATGCACTGTTAGCACCCAATAAGAATCTACATGCATTTTCCTTGTCTTAAATTCAGTACCATCTCTTCCCTTCTTTCATTTGTAGAACTTTGGCATTCCTCTAGTTTTTTAATACTGGACATTACAGAGGGTCTAAGCAAATTAAAAAGCACTGTATTTAACCATTAACAATGCCAGGCCTTTCACTTGCATTATCAAATTAAGTCCTTTAATGAGTGCCTGAGATAATTAACTTGTACAAGTCACTTAGCCTATAAGTGGATAAGCTGAGACCTATTTCAAGGTCCATTCTTTTCTACTACTACACATTCACTTTCTAGTGTGCTGGAGACACAATATACCAACAGCCCATAAGAAGAGATTATCAGATGAAGCTTCATTACAAACATCTTAAAACAGGAGATCAATGTGTCATCTACTATCTCTTAAAACATTTCCACTACTCATAATATATGGAGTTAAGGTGATGGCAAATAGTAGAACTGAGACTCCTGTCAAAATTGCTCCAAGGCAAGGCTAAAGCTAAACTTTTCCCCTAAACTTAGCTAAATCTTACTCAAAATCTTTTGAACTACATTTATTTGCCTATTATCTCTTCAAGTTAGTAAGACTAACAATGTTCATAAACTCTTTGCTGTGAATAAGGCAGACAACATTTTTCCTATCCAAAAGTAAAAAACAAAACACAAGCCTAATACCACCTAGGGTTCCTTCTAAATATGCTTACCTACTTGTGATAGAGAAACCAACAGGAACCAGCAAATTGTCGTTTATTTACTTGACATATCTTCCACAGGAGACCTATCTGACCCCTCTTCATAGCTCCAATACATTCACACAGGGCACTCAAGAACCTCACTGATACACACTTACTGGTGCCTAACACCTATGCTTCATATCTTGTCTCATGAGTCCATGAAAGTCTGCATATTCTCCCAGCTCTAAAAGCAGTGTTTCCCAAAATTAGCACTTTACTTTAAGAAATAGGCAGCATCCTGGGGTAAATGGGGCAACAAGATTTGACTTAACCAAAAGTACACCAAAATTGAAGAGTGATTTCATCATTCTGCTTTGCAATGTAGTTTCTAGAAATCAGCTATGATAAAAAGCAGGAAATAGCTGTGTTAAAATTTTACTAACTCCTAAAAAGCTGCAAGTTGAATTTAACAGTTTATTATGATTTATAAGTGTCATTTTTAAAAACAGCAGTCCATTAAACCATGTAGAAATAAGTATGCAAAAAGTCTGCAAAACAAAACATTCTTTAAACATGTTTAAGTAGATAGATTATCTGAAATTCTGGATTGTTCAGTCACTTCATCATTACGCTATGGCAGCCAAGTAATCCTTAACTTCAGTTGGAGTAAGCCGCCTAAATCCAGCTTCATTGCAGATTCCAACTTCAATGTTATCTTCTGTCATTTGCCCTTCAAAACTTTCCTATTGAGAAGAAGGTGAAATAATCAGTTTTCCAATTAATTATAAAATCCTCATAAATCCAGTTAGCAGATAGTAGACTAACCTTTAGGGTTAAGATGGCTGTATGAATGGCATCTTCCAGTTCCAAATCTTCATTATATCTAAAGAAAATTAAAAAAAAAAAAAAAATGACTTTATGGCACTATTTATATTCTTCATATCAATTCAAATACAATGACAACAACAGCATAAGTTTTTTTTTTTTATATACTTTTTTAGTTGTCAATGGACCTTTATTTTATTTATTGATATGTGGTACTAAGTAAGGATGGAACCCAATGCCTCACATATGCTAGGAAAGCACTCTACCACTGAGCCACAACCCCAGCCCCAAGATTTTTTTTAAAAAATCTAACACTCTTAAAAATACTAAATAATGCATTAATTCCTCTAATAACTTCATTGATAGCTGTCCCCAAATAAGAAATTTATCATCATTTGGTGCTCAATTCCCAAACATTGGAAAAAGTATAATCCTAAAAGTTTTAGGAAATTTCTTAAGTATAAATACTTTAATAAAACTTAATTACAAAATAAAGCAGAAAAATCAGACCTTTGCTAAAATTTTGTTTGTTTTTATAAACTATAACATGTTATGACATGTGAAATGTTTGGACTCAATAAGTAAAAGTTTAAGCAAAGTGCTTTAAGACTCCAAGATTAAGTTTACCATTTAAGTGAAAGTCTAATGTCTTTAATAACCCTAATATTAATATGTTAAATATGTACTAAAAAGGGTCATCTGTTCAAGTCAATTACAAAAGCTTTCTGTTCCAAAGGTCAAACATTTTTGAGGACTATAACAATGCTGAGTCTGGAATACTACTGGGAATAAGTGAAAGCAATTTGTGGTGCTCTGCAATGAGAGCAGACTTTTATACAGTGTTCCACTCCTCATCAAGAACACAAATCTACTCAACAGCAGGTGTTTGGTTATCACAATTTCTTGATTTCACAATGTTTCTGTCATCATAATATACACCTGCTATTAAATCATTTAAACATTTTTCTCCTCCTTAGCACAATTTTTTTTAATAACAGGGAAAATGAAGTAAAAAAAAATTATTTAAGAGAAAAACATGAATGTGAAAAAGATGTCCTTAAGAAATTAATATACCACTTATTCTGAAAGCTAGGAAGATAGGATGTTGAGAAGTTTTCTGTTTCTTCTATCTGTAACTAGGTTCAAATACAGAGTAGTACCACAAATTTATTTAGGTCCATGATAATAAAGTGTGCTGAAAACTATAAAGTCAATTCGCTGCTGAATCCAGTTATTGTGAGCCTACCTTTTCTCAAGGAATGTTTTCCCATTTACATAGTTCTTTCCCATGGCTGTGGCCTTCCAGGCAAAGTAAGCTCCCTAATCATAAAGGGAAAAGAGACCCATTTTTAAAAATTAATACAACTGTATTATTTTAACATTTGCTTTTAAACTCTGTAACTGGTCTCAATTTCTAAGGTCATAGAATACTTATTGGAATGGAATGAAAATGTCACAAGTAAATTATCTTTTAAAAAGGTCAGAGGGATAGATGATAAAGAGGCATGAAACAACTTGGAAGTTAAGGAAAAAGTTGGTATCTTGTCTGTGGTGATAGTTTCCTCTGAAATGTATATATATCAAAACTCAACAAACTAATGATGAGAATTGTTGATGATGCAGTGTACTATACATAAATTCTATTAAAAAAAAAGTTAAAGAAAACTGGGGTTAACAAGTAATTAAGAGTAACAGTTTAGCTTACTGGATTGAAGGGACTTAAAATCTATCACATAACTCTGGAAATTGGTGATCAACTCATCACCCATTAGTGAATAAATTAAAGAGGTAGCTTTTCATTAAAAAAATATTCAAAGGTTTTGATATTTTGTAATTTGAAGTGAAATGAAAGCAGCAGCACTATCATAAATAGCATGACATCATCTGTTGAAAAACATATGCACGTAGTAAAAAATACCAAGAAAGATATATCAAACATATTAAAACAATTTAAACAATTGCCTTTTAGATAACAGAGCAAGAAAAATGCATACAGTTCCAGAGATGGGAGCTTCTGCTACCCACTGGAAAGTGAAGTAAAAGAAATTGTCATTTAGCTTCAGAAGCCCAGGGATGAGGTAAAAACAATGCCAAAATTCCCCCAATACTTCCTTTTCTGATTTAAGTAACCATCATATATATATATAATTTTTTTTGCCTTTTAAGTTTATAAATAAGGTTAGCATTGAGTGAACTTGTAATTACCTACCATTAACAATGAAAATTTAGTCCCTAATCTTAAACTTTTTCTTATGACAAATGGAATGATATGGAATGGTACTTAGGAATGCTTTCTATTCTAGATACCAGTCTTCTGTTTTAGAGCAGACAACTTGCCCAAAATATTGGTTACATTCACTTTGCAAAACACTGAATTAAATTAATATTTTTGCTGGTAAGAGTGACACTCAAAAATCAGTTCCAAGATTAACCTGCTAGCAAAGATAATATTTCTCCAGATTCATATGTTTAATTGCAACATTTTCCTAAGTAACAGAATTCTATAGATTTAATGAGGTTTGATAACAACTATTTCAACAAGTTACTCAAGTATGCAATGTTAATGAACAGACAGAAAAAGAGGGAAAAGTTATAACTGGTAGCTTCCTTGGCAAAAGGCCAGGTTACCAGAATTTTAAATGTGCAAACTAATACACACCTTGTACTTTCTAAACTCCAAATAAAAAAGAGAAAATATTGCTAAATTTCAAAATCTTCATGGCTTCTTTTATTAGATATTAAAAGAGTACTTTAACAAATCCCTCAAATACATCTAATGATACTTACTGATGGATCTGACTGAAATAAATATGGTCGTCCCTCATTCCATCCACAAATAAGTAAAGAAACTCCAAATGGACGAACACCACTGCAGAAAGCAAATGAAAATTATTTGGTATGTTCATGGTGTTAAAAATCACCCTCAAGTGAAAATTTATCAATACTCTCAAGAAAAGCAAATTATCAAATAAACTGAATTAGACTTAGAAGTTCCTTAGAAAATATTTAAAGTCTTTGTAAATGAATCAATTCAAAATAATTCTCTTTATGGAAGTGAGAAGCAATAATTAAATTTAAGTTTGGATTAATGGAGTAACACCTTACCCTAGTTTGGGTAGGGTTTATTTCCAAGTTCATGTATAGAAGTTTGATTCCCAATGTAATGGAATGAGAGGTGGTGGATCTTTAAGAGGTGGAACCTAGTAGAAGGAAATTAGGTCATGGGGCACCATCCTCAGAAAGGATTAATGCCTATTGGTTAGGTATTACAGGAATAGACTAGTTCCCACAAGAGTGGATAGTTACAATTCAGCAAGTTTAGCTCCTTCACATAGTCTTGCTTCCTCTCTCAACACATGACCTATCTTGCAAGGGCTCCCTCTGGCCGTGTAATGCTACGTGCCAGAAGAACATCTTCAGAAGCTGATGCCAACAGCATGTTACTGAACCTCCAGAACTGTGAACTAAATAAACTTTTTTTCCATTGAGTTTACATTTCAACAACTACCTATATACTCTCATTCACACCCAAACCTAAAAACATCGGGATTAAAATGAATAAAATGTATCCAACAGCTATTACTTTCATTACCATTAATAATTGTTTATCACTGGGAAGACAAATGTAGAAATACTAATCATTGCCCATAAATGTTTTAATTAGTAACCAGCCAAAGGTCTTTGGGTATCTAAAAGCTACTTTCTGCTGTTGCGTTCACATTTTTCCTTAAGAAATCATTTTCAGTACAGTTAAGATCAGAAATAATCTTAGTGATTTCCTCCATTTTTAGGCAAATACAGGGAGAGCAAATCTCTATTTATATATCTCCTCTTTTAAAATGACTTTTTTCCTTGTAATTCATAACTCATTTTGAATAATAAAATCAACTTACCCTGACTGGGTGTATTCTTGCATCACAGAAGCTACTCTCTGTACCAGCTGAGCTGTGGGAATAGGTTCTTGGTAAACAAGATAATACTGCTGAGCAAGTTTTCGAGCTCTATGCACAAGCACTCTACAAAGAAGGAAGAAATAAGATTTAATTAAAATTAGGATGGTCTACTACTCAAAAAGACCCATTACCCTTCTCTAGGCATATACCTACAACACAAGTTTAATATGTATCTCTTTTTGTATGTATTGGGGGGCACTGGGGATTGAACCCAGGAGTGCTGTACCACTCATCCCTAGCCCCTTTTATTTTTATTTTGAAACAAGGTCTCACCTAGTTGCTGAAGCTGACCTCAAATTTGCAAACATTCTGTCTCAAGCTTCCCAAGTAGCTAGGATTATAGGTATGCTTTAATAATAGCTACCAGCTCAGAGCCGGTCTTACTTTTAAATCAGATTCCAGTTAATTTAGGAAAAAATATCAAAGCATCATAGAGGAGCCAAGCAATAGGAGACAGTCTTCAAGAATGGCCCCCTATCCTGAGAGCAGCCACCCTGTCTTTTTAGATTTCACCCCAGCCAACACACACATATGCATACATGAACATACACACACACACAATTTGGGTGAACATAGAGACACACAATTTAGAGCATTTTTTTCTTACTCTGCACCAGTCTTTTCTGCAGACTGCCTAAATCTCCCTGTCTACACTTTCAAGTAACCTTCAGAGATTAAGAAACAGTAAGAAACTATTTTAACTCAAACTATTTTAACTTAAAATATAAAAAATGTCAAGATACTAAGAATATGACATAATAATCAAATATATTAAGATAAATAGTATATTATCAAAATAATAGTACCTGCTCGTATACTACTGATCTGAAATATGTACATTACCTGTACGTATTTGTATGATGCTCATGCTCATTTAAGTTTATTCTATTGGTGGTGGCACACTGCAGTCTCCCTTCTATACAATGGTATCAAGATCCACTATAGTGAAAGCTGATTACATTTCAGTGATCTTGCTGTTTTTCCTGACTCCTTAAAGTAAAATTTTGGCTCTATTTATCTTATTCTACAAAATCATGAATAAAAAGCTTTCTATTTGTTGGTAACCTGATATAATAGCAATACTCTCTTTTCCCATGAAATACAAAGGGAATGTGTCTTTGAGCTTCTGGATCCCAGAAGGCTGTCATACTGAACAACTTTCAGTGGCCTTTAAGAATTCTGTCCCTTTGACAAGAACCATAAATATAATGAAGTTTTATGATGATGCTTTCTTTTGCCATCTGATACTTTTAAAAATATGGTTTACTATAACATATACTGTTTTAATCATTTTTAAATTGCATTAGGGAGAGGGGTAGAGCAGTGAAAGAGCACTTGCCAAAACATGTGAGGCTCCAAGTTTATCCCTATCACCCAAAACAAAATAAACCAAAAAAAAAAAAGCTACAAAGTCATTTAATTCCCCTGCTGGCGAAAGTGCTTGCAATACTTATGGTTCTAGTTCTTTTGATATATATACAAATTTAAAAAGTGCATTAGGGCCAGGCGCAATGGCACAAGCCTGTAATCCCAGCAGCTCAGGAGACTGAGATAGGAGGATTGTAGAGTTCGAACCCAGCCTCAGCAAAAAAGCAAGGTGCTAAGCAACTCAGTGAGACCCTGTCTTTAAATAAAATACAATATAGGGCTGAGGAGATGGCTCAGTGGTTGCATGACTTCAATTCTGGTATGAATAAAATAAATAAATAGTGCATTAGGGAACACTGAAGCCCTTTATGTCCAGTCCTTGGAGGACAGATGAAGGATAGTGATCAGAAGGAATCAAGGTATCCACTACACAGAGACAGAGGACTAAGTACTATGTCTATCTCCTCTTTTAAAATGGAGGGAAACTGAGTTAATCTCCTTAAAGTAATGTATATAGACAAACTAAATTAAGCTATTAATGAGGCTGAAGTTGCTAAACAAAACACAAAGAGTTGAAAGATTAAAGGAACATCCATTGACTTTTTTCCTCAATGTATAGTTTACAATCAATTCATGAGATGGTAGAGAGAACTATAAATAATATAAAGTACCTGTAATCTGGACCCATTCCACTATAGACCAAACCTATATGTTTGGTAATTGGTTCCACTTTGTGTACACTTCGTTCATCATACAGAATGGATTTCTGTTTCTTCTCAGTTGCTAATACCACACCATTTGCAGCTTAAAAAAATAAATAAATAAATAAAGACCTATATATTTAATCATTTTAAACCTCTATTTCAATCATTTTCTAATTATTGGTGGATTAAACCCAAACTACTTTGTTATTTCCTCTAATTTATGAAACCTCTTCTTCTAGATTCCTGTTTTAAATTCTGTACTAAAGTCACCTAAAAAATGGTAAATCAATTTTTCCCTCACTGGTCATTTAAAATGCACTTGGGGGGAGGGGGAGTCCCCCAAACTAAAGGCACTACACAACACAACTTCTCTTAAAGTACCATAGGATATCTGAGAATTTACATGTTTTAAAATACACCATATTTTGGATAACTTTGTCCCTGTTCTTATAACATCAAGACTTCTTCTTTAAGAGTACTAAGATATGAAACAATCACATTATCTTTAAATTATGTTTTATAATGAACTTAGGAAATCCTAAGTTATATGACAAAAACTGCAAGAGAGCAGCAACACAATCAGTGGAAAAACAAAACAATACTCGATTTTCTGAATGGGAACAACGTTTCCCATTTTCTGAATGGGAAAGACTACATGTAGGTTATCACAACTAATAGGTAAAGGTTCTACATTTACCTTAAAAAGAAATTTTAATCACCTCATTAGTCTTTATTACTATTTTCTTTAAACTTCAAAGTATTCTAAGTTAACAAAAAGAATTTAAAAATTATACTGTCACAGCTATTTACTTATAAACTAATTACTAAATCTTCCATCAGGAAAGCTATTAACAAGCACCTAAAGTGAATAAAGCACTTAATTACCTTTAATTCCCACTGAAGGGGCTCCTCCAGCTACAGCAGCCAAAGCATATTCAATCTGGACAAGTTTACCAGATGGGCTTAAAAGGAAACACAGGTATTTGCTAAGTTCATATTATTTTCAAATGTTTTTTGTAGAAACATCTTGAGTGCAGATGTACAACTCAAATCCCATTAATCAAAACCTAAGCAATGGTTGGCCTTTGATTATCTATATGAAGCTGTTTAGTAATTTTCAAGATGATTTTGAAGATACTCATGGTGAATCACAAATTCTACTTCCTTTGGTTGGTTCGTATTTGTACTTGGAATAACAGCATTACTATTGTCTCTTTTCACCACTTACCATCCTTGTGATTTTAGACAAGTTACTTAAGCTTTTTGTTTTCCCACCTGTAAAATGGAGGTTAATAGTACATAGCAGTTCTCTTTTTAAAGTGTTATTGCAATGATTAAACGAAATAATGCCTATAAAAGTTTCTGGCATGAATTAGCAATAAGCAAATTCTGAATGGTAACATAATCAAGAAAATGTATGTGTCTGTTAAAAACCAAAGAGCATGTATTTTCTATGGTTTCTTTTCTTTTCTTCTTCTTCTTTTTTTTTTTTTTAAAGAAAATAGACAGGGCTTAACATGCAAGACCTAGATAAGTATCATTCACAATGAAGTATTCTCCATATAATATAAAACTAATTCTAAGAGCCATTAGATGGTTACATTTAACAGCTCCAGTTTCATGAGTTTGGCAGGCAAATAACTCGTCCCAAACTGACCTTTTAGGTAATACTTTATTTCAGACTAGTTGCTGAGTTACAATCAGCATCACAAACCAACCTCCTCATTTTATAGAAACAAGAAACAAAATCCTGAATAAAGTAATTGGTTCTGTGTCACTACTGGGTCCATATCTTTTACTATTGAAAAATATGAAGATGATCTTAAGCCCCAGAAGGTCATCTGTTTTAACTTCATACAATTAAAGGTATTGTCACTCAAATCTCAACTTTCACCATCCCACCCTGCTCCAGACACACAGGCTGCTCTTTAGATGTCAAAACTCCTCTGACAAGCTAATTCCTACACATGACTCCCATTTCTCTATTGCCTAATAAACTCCTTTCTGGTCATCCTACAGTCCTTAGTAGATATGCTATGCCCTCAAAGGATGCCACCCTGTCAGACTAATTTGAATCCCATATAATCATGCCTAAGGTGTCCTATACTTTCTCTTTGGCTAAAGTTCATCATATATGAATTATTTTTATAATATGTGTCTTCCTCAACAAAGTGTAAGCTCTGGTTATGTTTTTTAGGAAATAACCTAGTACTGGGAATCCAGAGTCATTTGACTGATAAAGTGGCAGCTTACAGACTAAATAAAATTAGCTGACTTGAGAGGAAAATATTAATAAGCATTTAAATTATAACATTTGGGTAAACTTTTTGACACTTAATGATCACTAATCATAACTTTCAGGGTTCATCTAGCTTTCAAGTATTGTTTTAATACCTCTAGGGAATATTTCAAGACTCATGCAAACTTAATTATCTTTTCTCTGCTCCCAGAGCCACCTATAAATACCTTTATCATTTCAACTTTCTGTGAAAGCTCAATAACCTGCAAGCTTGCTGAGCAACTGAACATGTTTTATAGTCAATAATACCCTCACCTCAGTGTAAAGTACCAGCACCTCTACTTGGAATAACCAAAGTAACCTTTTTACTTTACTTATACTCCCAGACAGAATTATCTCTGTAGCATGTTATCCACAACTAAATCCTATAAAAACTTCTTGGTTCCCTTAAAATAAGATGAAAACTACTCACTCTGGCCTGCAGACCCTGAATGGTTAGCCTTCAGCTATATTACCTCCTTGCTCATTATATTCCACCTTCTATCAACTATTCTCTTTACTCCTAAATTTTCAAACAGCTGGCTCCTTTTCATTTTCCAGAATAAAAAAAATCATTGAAAAATGGATCTTTCCTGATCACTTAAACTAATGCCTCTTCTCTTGTCCTTTTTAAATAAAATTCCTGGGTAACAGAAAAACATTTTTTTTTTTTTTTCAGAATTCATTAACAGAGCCAAGTTGCTCAATTATTGTCAATATCTTCAGCTAAATGTAAGGTACAACAACACCTTCTTCATCCCATAATCTCTAGTCAGTTCCACCAGTTTTAATTCTAATCATAACATTCTAAAAATGTTTTTTTTTTTTTAATTACAACAGTTGGGCTGGGGATGTGGCTCAAGCTGTAAAGCACTTTCCAGGCATGTGCAGGGCGCTGGGTTCAATCCTCAGCACTACATAAAAATAAAGATGCTGTGTCCACAGAAAAATGAAAAATAAATATTAAAAAATTCTCTCTTTAAAAAAAAATTCAGGTCCTACCAGGGCAGTGGAGCATACCTGAAATCCCAGTGGCTCCAGAGGCTGAGGCAGAAGGATAGCAACAAAGCCAGCCTCAGCAAAGGGGAAGAGCTAAGCAACAAAGTGAGATCCTGTCTCTAAATAAATGGCAAAACAGGGCTGGGGATGTGGCTTGGGGGGGAGGGGTTGAGTGCCCCTGAATTCAATTCCCAATACAAAAAAAAACATTCAGTCCCTGATGAAATATGGTTGTTTTGTGCCTCAGCTCCACCAAAATTATCCTTAGAGATAAAGAATCTTGTGTGTTATATTCACATAAGTGAACAGTGGTTACCTCGCACATTTTAGTCTCTGTCAAGGTATATAACAAAACCCTTTAATTAAACTAATTTCATTCAAAGTTTGCCAAAACACTATTGCACCTTGACATACTGAAAACTGCCAAGAGGAAGGCATTTTTTTTTTTTTAATTTTAGTAAGACAACATGCAATAAAAAGTGTATGTCCACTTAATTACTCAATAATGACCTTGGACAAGTTAATTTGTCCAAGTGTGGATAGCTCTTCAGTAACATGGTGAGATAACATTCATTTCAGGTGGTAGGTAAAGCAGTGGAGGATTAAGTTGCACCAACACAGAAAGAATTCAACAAGTTAGATCCTCTGTGCCTTCAGTAGTCAGACAGGACAACTAAATGGGACATTACTGATCCTTAAGAAAATGGTCAAACTAGAATCCTTCCCTGGTCATTTTAAAAAATTCTTCAGTGATGGTTTTCTTACATTGGGTACGATGTTTCACCTCAACTGTATTTTGAGAATATTACTTTAATTCCCTGTTTTATAACAGAAAAACCTAAACTCTTTAAGCATTCCTCCGTACAAAACCAAAAAGACCAAAACATATATCGTAGCCTAGTTATTTTGGGGCCCACAACAACCTGTTTTATAGAAACATCAGCGCTTTCATTTTTCAGTCCTTACGCTTCTAATTGGGACACGGAAGAAACCGAAAGCATAAGTTTCAAGACACTAGGGCCAAACTGTAACCAAGACTCCGGCCTAATGGTAAAGCCGAGATTCTTTAAAAAAAAAAAAAAAAAAATGCAACCCCACATTTTTGGTGGAGATTCCGAGTTTCAGGCACTCCTGCATGGGGCCTACTTTGGTCAAGAAGGAAATTCTGAATTCTGAACGGGTCACCAGGAGCAAGCTAACTCCTCCTTTTCTTGTATTCAAGGCGAAAGTGAATTCCTGCCTAGCAGCTTCCCGGTTCCGCAACCTCCAGTTGTTCCCAGGTCCCCCAAATGGGCTCCTAAGGCCTGCCGGAACCATGACTTTCGAGGCTTTCCCGTTCCCCAGCCGGCCCGGCAAATGACTTTGCAAAGCTGCATTTCCAACTCCACTTCCCATTGGACCCTCCGGAAATTCTAAGGCACAGGCCACTACAAATAAAGTGGGGTCGGGTAGTCTCCTGCAACCTTTGCTACATGCAGGACCCTGGGGTCCATTCAATACCTGAATGTAGTCAGCGAAAAGCTGTAACCGCGCTCCGCCATCTTTACCCGGAGAACCAAAGAACACTCGCGCATATGCGCACCGCGGTCGATTTCTTTCCATTTCCCCGCCCTCTTCCTTTCCTTCTCTTTCTCTGATTGGAGCAGAGTCAGAGCCACCTCAGGGGCATTCTGGGAGTTGTAGTTCTATAAGGTAGATTTGCCCGACTCTGGGTCTTTGCGCACATTCATAGGGGCAGGATCCAGCAGCCCAGTGAGTTCCGTTTTCTGGCAATGAAGATGGCGTCTGGCATGCTCCTGGTTGTGGTGCCTCCGTGGCCCGCTGCACGCGGGCTGCTCCGAAACTGCTGGGAGCTTCTGCAGCGAAAACTTCAAAAGAGCTGGCCAGGGTATCCAGCTCCTCCGTGGGGTAGGTAAAGAAAGGCTCCGTAGGAAGTGGATCAATGAGGAGACCCCGGCTGCTTGGTAGACACAGTTCCTGGTTTTTGTCCTTGGCCTTTCTCATTCCCGGAGGCGCATAGGGGGACTTGGTTCCTTACTTTAGTCTGGAAACCATAGCAGCTATTTGTGCGCATCGAGCAAATAAATAAAGTTTCTGTGCTTGTCCATTCGTATGTAGATTGTTACCCAAGCGCCTTAGCTTGTTAAGGATTAGCACAGCCGAATTTTGTTAAAATGCTGAAAGCAGATGCTTTCGAGTAATTTCTGAAGGAAGAAAGAACTGAGTTTCATTCCAATTTACAGAGGTGATACGGGCGTTTTAAAAGGAGAATGGAGGCAAGTGAGTCGAAGAGTAAGAGAAGTGAAATGGAGCGAGGGGTTGGTCATTGTAAGTGGGATTAGTAGAGTTCTGTTCGCACATAAGAGACTGAGAGACAGAAGCCTTCTTGATCCTTGATTATATTCCAAAGGAATGGCCTTGGGTTCTTTTTTTTTTTTTTAATGTTTGTTCTCTGTGATGAGCCTTGGGTTCTTGAGAGACGCTTTGGAGGTGAAAGTGATATGTCTTTACAATTGTAATTCCTTTTTAGTAGATCCTGTAAGATAAGGAATTCAGGTGCCTATTCAGGTGTGTATTGGCTAGACCAAAAATAAAGTTTCCTGTCAGCGTGAAACTTTCTCAGGCTTAAACTTTAAGGAGAGCTGAGGTCATCCCAGGGACATGACCTTATGTTGCCAGAAGTGGTGCTAGAGTTCGGTTAAGTCTCATTTGTCCAGGAGTTTAGAGTTGTCCTGTGTGTATACTTACGCAGTTCTCAGTTGGCACTATGGCTGGCCACTGCGGATCCCAATTGTCTTTTCTTTCAGTTCCATTGTCCACAGGATGCAACTTGTTCTTCTCTGTGGTGTTTGAGCTCTGTGCAGATTAATTCTGATTCCTTGTATTCGTTGAGGAACGAGTTTTAATTGAAAATATTTTGGATGTTAAAGCTGTTATTGCTTTGATATTTACTAAATATCCCCAAAGTGATAATACCTAGGCAATCTAAACAGATACAGACCAAGAAAATATGTACTACAATATACCAAACACTGGGCTAAGTACATTTTCACCAACCACTTCCTGGGATAAGCTTCTCAACAATCCCATAAATTTTCACCACTTTTCAACTGAAGAAATAGACTTAGAAAAATCTCAGCGTCCCACAGACAGTCCAGATTCTGCGTTATTAACCATTGGGCCATGCTTAGCAATACTTTTAGATCTATTGAAAAAGAATATCAGTTGTTAAATGTAGAGAGTTTTATGTACTTTTAAGAGTTCTTAAAAAACAAAAGTAGTATTGTAAGTCTCAAGAATAGCCAAGAAGGAGTAAAGGAATCTCTTTGATTTTTATAAGCAATTTAGAAAAACAAAAATGAGACATTGATAGTCACATAAATAAAAATATACAAAGAAATGGTGAGCTGTCTTTTCCATAGTGATCAGACAGGAGTCAAGATTAAATATTATTGAAGAACTTAGAGATTTGAGGAGCTTACCATGTGATTTGATAAATGAACTAATTTTAAGAGGCTAGTACACAGTTATCCCAGTGCAGGTCAGAAGTGCATTTAGTCAATTTTAATCAGATCTACGTGTACATCAATTAATTACTTAACTGCCCACCAAGTAAAATGTGGACAATTGAGTGATTTTGTTTCTTCTTCTTCTTCTTTTTTTTTTTTTTTTTTTTGAAGTTAGGCACCTGTCATTCTTTTATTCATGTTTACTACTAAATTCCTGAGTTCTATACTACATGAGATGAGAAACTCTTGATGTAATTTCTCTTAACTCACTTCAGCAGTTTTCATTAAAATAAATTTCTATTTGTGTTCTTTAAGTTATCCTTTCTTTATTAGCTTTAATTCTATATATTTTACTAGCTCAGGTTTCATGTTAAATTTCTATTGAACGTTCTAAACTATCAATATGTCTACACATGTTTGTGTTGGTTAACATATCACAGTTGATTAGCAAGGATAGTGATATCTGTAAATAGTCTCTTAGGAGCTAGAAACTGATTTTGTATCTCCATGTTTTATTTTATAGGACCAGCATTAGCAGTCCAGGGTCCAGCCATATTTACAAATGATTCCAGTGGAAGTAAGGAGAATTCCAGCTTTTTGGATAACATCTTTTGGATGGCAGCTCCCAAAAACAGACGCAGCATTGAAGTGAACCGGTGTAGGAGAAGAAACCCTCACAAACTTATTAAAGTTAAGGTAATGTGTTGATTTTTGTGGGTGTGCTTTTCCTCAAGTCTGTCCTTGAGTAGCTTCACAGTCTCAGATCTGCCTATCATTCATCCTAAGTGAAATACAATATTCTCATTATGTAAGTGTGCTGTCCTCTAGTCTAAATATTAAAGCAGTCAGGGAAGAAGTTCAGAGAATTTTACATTAAGGACTAATCAGTGCTCACATACAAAAAAAATTGTAGACTATCCACCAAACCTATGATTTCTATACAGAAATTCAAATCACATAGTAATAAAGCAGAGGAAATTGGGTTATAATCTTGTCATCTTGTTTTCCACAAGATAACTGAAAGTGAATTTATCTTTCCTTAGTTTGTCTACATAGGTCACCCCACTGTGTTGATGGACTCATTATGGGATATTTAGTATTTGAAGCTGGGGAATAGAGAACCTTTTTATATGAAGATGACTACTGTATTTAAGTAAAAATGTATCGGATGCAAAGTTTGTAAACCTGATATCCCCAAATTTTCTATTGATTCAAATTCAGTGTTGCTTGTTTTCAGTTTCCCTATTAAAGTGAGGTTGAACTAGATGGTGTATGACTCATGTAGCCCAAACACTTCTCAGAAAGCTAAGATGTAAGTATCTCTAAAATATAAGTATTATATATGTTTTTGTTTATTATGTTTTTGTTTTAAAGAACAATATAGACATTTGTCCTGAATGTGGTCACCTGAAACAGAAGCATGTCCTTTGTGGCTATTGCTATGAGAAGGTGTGCAAAGAGGCTCGAGAAATCAGACAGCAGATAAGGAAGCAAGAAGGGGGGCCTTTTAAGGCTCCTACAGTGGAGACTGTTGTGCTGTACTCAGGAGAGACACCATCAGAAAATGATCAAGGCAAGAGGATCATTGAACGAGATAGGAAACGGCCATCCTGGTTCACACAGAATTGACTCCAGAGATATTAAAAGGATAACTTCACAGTAAAACATTTATGCCGAAACAGAGGAAGAGTCTTGGTTTTTATGTTGTGCTTGTTATTAAATCATCAATAGAGTTTAAGTTATACTTCATAAGTAGTTGGCTTTATGTGAGTTAACTTAAAGAATATATCATGAGTAAACTCTTAAAATGTTTATGGAAAGGCTCAATGGATTAATATATCTGTTTCTATTATACTTTGGGGTTTTAAGTAAACATTAGATTTCCACACAAAAATAAAAAATTTACAATTAATAGCAAGAATTACCTGTTTTGCTTCTCATTTTATTTGCCAGTGGTTTTTTTCTTAGACAAGCATAAACACTAATACATGGAAATAGGGTGGTATTTGAACTCTGGGTATTATTTTTTAAAGTCATAGTTGTGTCGATAAGAAAGATTTTGTTCTATTTTGTTTTGTTTAGATGATAGAAATAATTCCTTACATTTTACATTAAATCAGAGACATTCAAAATTCATTAGATGGCTCACAAAATTTGAATTCCATAGTTAGGGAAATGAATTTTTAGTAAAGAGATGAGCACATTTCTCATACATCAAAAAAATGTGTGAAGGATGTTGACTGCATTTTACTTCTAATATATCCTTTTATTGTGTACTTTATCATCTTTATCTCTTCATAGCAATAACTTTTTTAACTTCCTGAAATTCATTTTTTATTTTTTTCTCCCTCTCCCACTCCTGTATCTGCCCTGTGTCTGCCCTGTGTCCCAGATTTGCTGTTTTATTTCCTGCTTTGTTTAAAATGAAAGTGAGACAGCTTATTGAAACACATGGTAATAAGAATTAAGGAAATTACAGGTAAGGGGAAAAAATCAGTAAACAGATAAAACAAAGCCCAGGGATGTATTTAAAACAAAATGAATGCCACAATAATCTGAACATTACTAGAATTAGGCAGTAAATTGACCCTGAAGTTTATTTATTTATTTGATATTGGGAATTGGAATCAAGAGGCATTTTACCACTGAGCTACATCCCCAGCCCTTTTTATTTTGAGACAGGGTCTCACTTAAGTTGCTTAGGGCCTCCCTAAATTGCTGAGGCTGGCCTTGAACTTCAGATCACTTGCCTCAACCTCCCCACCTGCTGTGATAAAAGGTATGTGCTACTGTGCCCAGCTGAACTTTATTTTCTTTAGAAAGGGAATATTGACTTAAATGGAACAGTCTCCATAAGGTACATTGCTATATTGGAACTGAAGCCTAAGGAACACTTCTGTGGAGCTTCATAGTAAAGATTGTCATGGGGTACTCCATGTTGCCAATTCTAGAGGTAAAAGGATAAATTTCATAGGATACACTATAACCCAGTGTTGAAGTACAGTTCTGAAAAAAGGAAATCTCTTAAGACTTCCAAAGTATTGAAAAGTCCTTGGTTCAATCTAAACAACAAC